AGAAGCTGCACTGTAACTCTGTTACATGAGTTGCAATTCACGATTGCTTGTATATATCATGCTTTATCTCTTACGTATACGTACACTTGATATTTTCGCAAAAGAAATAATTTTTTATTAATTAACATTCCTAAAAAAATATTTATAATTAAACTTAAAAAATGATTTTTAGTATATTCCCTACTTGGGTAGCCATTAATCATGTCAAAATTCATATATTCTAGTATAGATGTACTTAAGTAATAAATGAATGCGTTTTGCATTTACTTAAGACTCAATTTGAGATTTATTTAGGCATCGAAATTGAAATATGGTTAACATTATCATGACATGTTGTAGTAGAGCCTATCAGTAGATGCCGAAAGCATAAAATTTATTTCACACTCGATCGAACGATCGATTCGCACGTTCGAGGCGTGAGATAGACAAATTAGCAAGGTGACTAATTAGAGAAGATTTCTTGGAGGATGCATATTTTTATCATAGTCACATGAATTCTTGTGAGTGACCACACATTATTTTTAATTCTCATACGACAATTATTTATTGATATCGACAAAATATATGTGTTAATATTAAAATGATTTATTTTATCCAGAATAAAAATTATTTATTAGGTTATTAATTTATCCATTTTTTCCGAAAAATTATTTCAACATATTAATAATTTTTCTTTAATTGATACGTTAGGGTTTGTGAGCAATCTGTAAAATATTTCAATTTTATTTTGAAAGATAATTTGATGAATTTTCATTACTCCAATGATGAAAATGATTGAAAAGTATTTATGTGATGGAAGAAATTTGTGGGACGATGATTACATAGAAAAATTGCATTGAATGTTCATTAGGATGTATAACATTTTTATTCACCTGCTTTGTGAATGACAGCCGTCGCCTTGAGGCATGACCCAAAAAAATAAAAAGGTCAGTCATTTCAAATTGCTCAGTATATCTATTATTTATTGCTTTCCGATATAAAAATTTAGAGAAATTAGCATACATTATTGTAAAATGATACTAATTATTGAACTCTAGTTTTATTGTGTGAAATTATATTTAACCGTCCATGAAAATTTTTTTAGTGAGCTGACTGCAGTCATGTATAGTATATTTAGTGCATCTGTACTATGACAAATTTTTTCAGGCTTTTCTGTCAATGTTGTTTTCGTAGTCGTTAAAGAAGCCCACTAATTTTCTAGTTTTCTTGTTATATGATTTTTATGTATGAATATGTCCATCTATTTAGTAGTCAATCAACCATTGTAATTCATAAATTATACGTATCTATTTTCTCGTTTATTTTCATTTTTAGTTACTCTAATTTTTGACGCAAATTATTGTGTTTTGTAAAATCTTATCTAAATATTTTTTTAAGAATACTATTCATAAACTGTAAATCTTAAATTTTGGAAGTGTTTTAATTTTAAACACTACGATTTGCAGTGGATAAATCGTTGGAATCAATGCAAATATTTAAATAAATACTCCGATAGAATGCATATTTTATTTAAAGGGGATACTGCTCCAAAATGTAATTAATATGTTTTTGGAACATTACGAATGAAAAAATGTTTCAGTTTTTCAATTTATTTACTTGATCTAAATTTCATGTTCAAAAATAGTACTGCCTATAATTTGACTATTATAGTGTATAAAAATATTTTTGCCGACCATTTTTGACTGATCATTTCATAAAATAAAGACGATTTTTACGTTACATAAAGACTGGCCGATACTGAAATCATGATCGAATATTATCGATTAATTATTTATGTTTGAGCACGACGTGAATGGCAGCGAGTTACGTCACTAATCGCAGGTGCAGACGACGTTGCAACCTGTCGTTTCGTCGCATATCAAATGGGGGAATGAGTCTTTCGCGGAGGGCAAGTGGATAACGAAGAGAAGGACCTAAGCTTACATATAAGAGTGCCTTGTGCTCCGCCCCAGGAACACGAGCAACATGGCCGCTGAGGGACGGATTGGCGGAGGCGAGTTGCGACGCCGACGTCGCCGTGACGCCCGCGCTTCACTCAGCCACGATTCAAACTCAACTCACTTCACTTATTGCCTGAGGCAACTCCTCCCGATTCTTGGCCGGTTGCCGCCCACCCTCGTGCTTACCTTTTTAAACATTCACCTGTATATACATGCAAAGTCCCCTTACACACATTTACCTTAAATCTCAGCGAATCCCATCCACGTCAGTAAAGTCTTCCAGGAGCACTCGGAAGTCTCTTTGATCAAATAAAAATGATATTTATTAACATGAAAACTCTTATGCTCTGCATATAAGCGATACAACAATCGACATACCAAATGATCAAATTTTCAGAAGATGGGAAAAAATGTCGACGAAATACTTTGTTGCGATGATAATCAAACTGGTTTTACCACTTGGATTAATGTCAAGTGAATAAACAGGATCTGTTTACGGAGCATTTAAAACGCATTTCTACCCACGTGAGTTGAGGGAGCGGGTGCGAAGCGTTTCGAAAGAGAATGACAGCTTTGCTGCATATCGTATCTAATTCGTTGCGCTTCTCAAAAGGCATCTCCGAAGAATGCTTAAATCTGTGGGTAGTACAGATGCACGTAAACTTTCTTTATGGTACGAAAGACCAAAGGTCGTCTCTAGAACATACCATAAACGTAACGGTATAATATTCAATTTGCAAACTGTCAATCCTTTTATATATATGACTTACTGTTTTCGTGATAGAATCTCGCACGAAAGCTGTAATAATGTTATGAAGATCGACATGGTATAAGAATAAGTTTTCTAAACCACACCTGTTGCATCAGCATTTTACATTTGTTGTCATTTTTTAGCACTCGCTGTAAAATATAAATGAAATGTTAGTAATAGGAAATGAACTAACCTGAATAATATTATTTGATAATAAAAATAAATAGGAGTTGAAGTTCACGTCATGCATTCAAATTAACACAATACAAATGTATTAATGGATAATGAAATGATAGAAAAATATCTTAGATTTTTTTCCAAGGTAAAGATAATTTTTTAAAATAAACAAAAATTAAAAGAAACATTTTAAATATTTAACTTATGATTCTGAGAAGAAAGCATTCTCTAAAGATGAAAAGGATACCAAATGAGACCTTTAAAATCACAGCAGCCACCTGTTGGATTTCTCAAAGTATACCTAGGTCCTAATAATGACTTATCCTTAGTTCAAAGACATCTTAAATTTAATGATATTACCGTAAGGATAAGGTATGCATTATTTAAAAAAATTTATAGATGGTAGGCGTTTATGTGGTGGTCACCTAACTGTTACAGCCTTTACTTTGCCTGTCATGTTGATTTCTTTGTCTCTATTTTTGTATCTCCAACTCTCAGAGATCTTCTGGAAGATAAAAAGATAAAAACGATCGTTGGTCTACTTCGAAATCGATCGAGGGTTTCTTATAAGACGATGAATACTTAGACATTGAGGGAGATGTGTCTACCCTGTCGACCCTACAGGTATGTATGCTAACTCTTAGATATAAGATCTGTACACTGATATAAAGAACTCTTTAAAAAAGATTCAAGAGTTGGTTAATGTCAAGTTGAGACAAGTTTAAATTTCTCTTCCTTTCTCTCTATAGGATAGCGTTAAAGTGCCATTTTTTACTAGGGTGTTTATTTCATACCTCACAAGTCTGTCATAGTCATCAAGTTGAAGATGAATGTTATACACGTGGGAGTGCAAAGTGTCTCATGGATAAATATGATGTCGGCACTTTTAGAGTTGATCAATCACTTTTGACCCTCGGGATACAACAGATGTCTCGAAATGTAAGAATTATCCTATACTAACTAATGTATGAGGTCTTTCTTGAAACCAAGCATGATCTAGATGGTGATCTTGGACTCGTTTTAGTTCCGACGTGAATAATGTCGTCCGGATGTGGGTAGTGTTGGACCACATATTGCCAGCACGTTGAGTGAGACATAGTTCTTACTTCCTGATTCATTTAATAAGTATACATGACACAAATCAATCATTTTTCTTTTTGAAAGTTTAATTATATATCTATTTTTTTTCTTTTTCATCAATTAACAATTTTCAATTACATTTTATTCAGTTTTTGTCAATAGTTCACATTTCTATCTAATAATTATGATGAGTAATAAAAAAATAAATCTCAGTCAAGTATTGACTACCCCAACTTTCTTACTTGTGCTACTGTTTGTTGAGTAATTCTATTTAATATTTTTAAAGTCTATGATCAAATTTTCATGTAATTCATATAGAACTTGTAAAATATAATTTCTTCCTATTAAATAATAGAATTAGAAGTAAGGAAAGGGAAGGTAATGCTCATTGCACTTTTTGTTTATCAATTTTTCAATTTATTAATGCATTCAAAATTATCAACATTTGTTAATATAATGATTAATTTGTTGATTTACGTTTGTTCTTGGTGTTTCACTTTACCCCACCTTTCCCTACTTGAAGATTTAATTTTTCCACGGATTTCTAAGATGCAAAATAAATTATATGAATCTAATAAAAAATTATATATTATAACTTTTAATTAATACATTAAAAAAATTAAATGTATATAACTAAAAATTTGTCATTATTTTATAATCATCACAAGACAGATTTTTACTTTTACTCAAATTAAATGTAGATGAATTACACTTTCGACATTCAAGCTGGGTCTGATGATACTAGCAACTACAAGCCGAATGATGAACTCTTTGGTGGCTTTCTCTTTGTTATCCATTACCAATCGAGAAATGTCTATTTCTACAATTACTATTCAGAGGTAAAGAAGAAGTCTAATAATTTAGAATCTTGATCTAACAGATGGTAAGTAGAAGAATTTTTTCAATGACGACAGATTCTGGTTAAAGAAAATATTTTAAAAATTTGTTGAAGGTGTCGTGACTTTACTATTCTGAGCAAGTTCTCGAAGACAGCATGTAAGTTAACTATCTCTGATTCTAACGACATCTACTTTAACAATAATAATAAATAACAGTTGTTTCTGCTAATGTCACAAAGAAGTGTTTTTCAGATATCCATCAAACTGATATCGCTTAGAATAGTTTATCCAATAAATTAACTTATTACAAAATGGTAGATATTAAAAGTAATGTTAGTTTTGCATGTCAAAGGTGCTTACAACCGTTAAGATTAGATCCAAGTTTTGATCATCTTGGGGAACATACTTTAGCTGAATTATCACGTAGGTAATTTCTATTTTGAACAATAACTTTAAACAATAAAATAATTATTGTTTATTGGTTTAGTTTTTATTGATTTAACGTGATAGCTATATAAATTCATAATAGATTCATTATTGTTGGAAAATATAAATATTTAGAACAAAATAAACTAACTGTACCTTACATATTGAATTTTTCAGTTCCTATTCAGCAACAAGTCGTAGGAGACATAGAACCACAAAGTGGAAGTCTTGAAAATCTAGTCCCTCCATTTCGACTCACAGAGTCTACTAATGGAACAAACGGATTTATGTTGGTTGGAGATTCTGGAGAAACAGAAAGTCTCAGTCATCATTTAAGAGTATGCTAATTTAATGATTATTTTCGATATATTTAATCATTGAACATGAGTAAATATTTTGAATTACCTGTATCGTATATTAATTATTGTGAAATATTCATTAGATAAATCAATTCTCTTAATTATTCTTAATGATAAAATATATTTTAATATAATGGCTATTTAAAGTAATGATGTAATAGTAAGCAAGTTGTGTACTATGATTATGATAAAACATTAAAAAAATTATGAATATTTCATCAAGTGCACATGTTGAATTCTATAAATTGTTCAATTGACTATTTATAATGAAAAATAATTATTTCAGGTGAGAGCTACATTATTTGACATACTTAGTAGCAGTAGTGCAGCGGATCATCCACTTTGTGATGAATGTACAGACAGTTTACTAATGTTGATAGATCAACAGTTACGTATGACTGAAGGAGAATGGTCTGATTATAATGAATTCTTAAAAAAATTAGAAGCTGATCAGCAGAATGATAGTGATACTGGAGAAATGGAGATTTTAGTGAAGGAATTAGCAGATGTTAAAGCTGAAGAAGAACGAATGATTCAAGAGCTGGAAGCTTTGAGAAAAGAAGAAGCTGCTACAAGAAATGCAATCGCTGAAAAAGAATCAGAAAGAGAAAGGTTACAAAATGAAGAGGAAAGGTATTGGAGAGAATATTCAAAACATCGTAGAGATCTTATTTTAGCAGAAGATGAATGTCGAAGGTAATTAACACAGAACTGAATTTGTTATTTTTAGCAATGTAAATAACACTTCAGCTCTTTTTTATATTCTTAAGTAAATAGATTGAATTGAATTTTTTTGCATGACAATGCCTCTCGAAAATACAAATAAAACTAATAATATTTAACAATATTAGTGAAATAGTTTACATGCGACAATATATAATAATATGCATTATTATGTAATTAATTTCAAACTTTCATCTTTAGCTTAGAATGTCAACTTGCCTACGCAGCATCCCAGCTTGAAAGACTGAAAAAAACAAATGTTTTCAATGCTACATTTTACATTTGGCACTCGGGACATTTTGGGACAATAAATTCTTTTAGACTGGGCCGTTTGCCAAGTGCACCAGTTGATTGGTGTGAAATTAATGCTGCTTGGGGTCAAACAACACTTTTGTTAACTGCATTGGCAAGAAAAATGAATTTGACTTTTCAACGTTTCCGCCTTGTGCCTTTTGGTAATCATAGTTATATAGAAGTTCTGGATCAACAAAAAGAATTACCACTTTATGGAAGTGGAGGGTTCAAGTTTTCATGGGATACGAAGTTTGATGCAGCAATGGTTGCCTTTTTAGACTGTTTACAACAATTTAAGGAGCAAGTAGAAAAAGGTGACAGTGGATTTTGTTTACCTTATAAAATGGATCGAGGCAAAATCGAGGATTCTGCCACAGGGAATTCATACTCTATCAAGTAACTCATTTTTTATACGAATTATTTTTAATAAAAATTAATTTATTTTAAAGAAAATTTATCAATGAAAAATAATCGAAATTACACTAAAAAGAATTTTTCTAAATGTAGATTAACTTAAAAATTTCTACTCAATAAAATTTATTCAAATTATTGCTATTTCTTCATGATTTGTAATTTATGTTTCAGAATTCAATTTAATTCTGAAGAACAGTGGACAAAGGCACTGAAATTTTTATTAACAAATTTAAAATGGGGCCTAGCATGGGTCAGTAATCAGTTTACGAAAGATGAAGCTGATCAGTAATTATAAATAATTTTAATTGAACATTGTTCTTTAGTTTTTCACTACACCTTGTAAATAAAATTTTCTCTTTGTAAATAAATTATGCTAATTTCGAACAATTCATCAAATGATTGAATGTACATGTTTATATAGATTTAACAATCTTAACAGTAACGATCTTTTTTTGCTGTTAAAAACCATAAAACTCCATACAAAAATGTTGGTGGACTCTGTACATCTCCAGAAGCGATGTAATTATTTGCTTCTTCGGGACTCATCTCTACCACTTCGATGAGTTCTCCTTCGGATTCAGCACCACCGCCTTGATGTAAAAATAATTTAAATTACTAATGCTATTCTTTGACCTTTTAGATCAAAGGCTCTACATTATCTAGCAGTATTTGCATACTTTCAATAACAGTACCATTGATTTAATTAAGCAACAAAACTGATAAAAGCAACTATGTCAACACAAGATTTGATAATTATATTTTCCTCGAATTTTATAAAAAACTATTAACTTTACTTCAATAATAATTATTCAGAGTGGTTAATTGACAACTTACCAGGGTGTATGTGCATCTCGTCACTTACTTCAACATAAAATAGTGTGTGTTTGCCAACTGTGCTACCAACATCACTGCAAAGACAATTATTCAACACTTAGTATTGAAGAGGTAAATATTTATGCTACAGCGCTATTGCATTAATTATTGTTCGGATGAAGAATTTAGTAAATTTTAATAAGGAAAGAGATTGCAATTTTAATGAAAATGATACTTTTTTATTGATAAAAAGTTAATCATTACTAACAATGACTTAACTAATATCAATAAATTAATCGACAGTTCAATTCATAAAACTCAAATGTAATAAATTTCTGTAATTTTGACTGTTTATTTCAATGACATTCGATATTCAGATGATGATTTTTTTATAATCTATTTCATTGCTGGTATAATATGTTTGTTTTTATATAATCATTCATAATTATTTATATATCATAAAATATACAAATCTTTTCAAAGAATTTAAAATTAGCTACAACATATAAATAATCATAGCCGTTGATATGAATTGTTTGCTTAGAATTAGTCATGAATTACTTTGGCTACACAATGATAAGTTTCATATATTCAAAAAATATACAATCTTGAAGTAGTTTATAAGAGTGTTTCTAAAAAATGATGAAATAATTTGAATGCAATTGAAAACAAATGATCAAGTTTACCGGTAAGTAACTATTTCCGTAAAAGCAGTAGGAGGTACTTCATATCCGCATTCTTCTCTCAACTCTATACTTGCAATTTCAGCAAGTGTCGCATTCTTATCAATAATACCAGCACATAATTCCAAGGTTAATCCAGTTTCTAATGGATAATTCTTAATGTCAACCTCTTGAAATTTCTCGGGAAGCGTAGCATAATAGGCAGCTGGTCGAAATTGTCGAACAAATATTAATTTTTTTCTACTTATATTAAATACGATAATTGCTACACTGTCATGAATTCTAGACAAATCCCAAGCTTTATCTTCACCATTTTGACGAAAGCTCATTCGAGCCGGTCTCAACCATGGTGAGTCCATTGGCATTTTTTCTATTCTAATATTTTTCATGTCCAACATCTTTTGCCTTATAATGGCATTTCTTTCTTCTTGTCCTTTGTCTGTCATTTTGATGAATTTTAAATATACTTATCCGTAAATGAAACAACAAAACACAATCAACCGTATTCTGACATAATCTGAACCGACTGTCTGAAACACGCTACTAATATTATGATATGGCGTTACTTACAATATAACTAAGTAGAAAAAGCGTTTTTTAAGAACACTGTGATCACAATCTACCAGTTCAACAGTCGATAATGTAAAATGTGAATGATGGTATTACAATTACTTCTTGAACATCAGGAGACACTTTAGTAGTTACGGAAGCCTGTAGAGCTCACCTCCGTTTTGTAGGGATTATTTAACTCCTACCAGAGAAGAAAGACCAGTATAGAAGTTTAG